AGGTAGAAGCACACCACCTCGAAGGCACGGATGAAAGCCAAGGCGTTGGGGTGCAGTTGGGACGGGGCCAAGCGCAACCAATCAAAGAGCCCCAGATGAAAGGAGGAGAACGGTAACCTAAGCTGAGCCTCTTTGAAGTAGAACTCGTGCATGGGAAACATCTGCCGCCCATATCGTGAGCAGATGCGATGGTGCTTCTTCGGACGGTACACCTGCCAATGTTGCGGCTCCCCGATAGGCGTATCCTCGACAGTGGCATACACGTCGGACGCATCGGCCACAAAACAAGACAGCGTATCCTCGGGTTCGTTGTCTTCGACCATCGTTCCCGGTACCAAGGCCGACATCTACACCTGAAAAGCAGAGGACAACGGTGAATTTGATAGCCAAGATCAAATCCACCCTTCCACCGCAGGTCAAGTGAAAGGGCGACAAAGGCCAGAGAACGGCGAGCAAACAGGCGCTCCCCGCCGATCCTCCTCGGGGCGTCCGAAGCCAAACCACCATCCCTCCGCGGGACGGTCACCAGAAAAAGCGCGCGTCCCCGGGGCATTCATCGGACAAAGCACTCATCCCCGGGGCATTCATCGGAGAAAGCCCCCGTCCTCGGGACATTCATCGGAACAACCGATTCTCCCCGGGATATTCACCAGAAAATCGCCAGATACGGCGGATCTTGCGTCCCTCCTCGGGGCATTCATCATGCCCCAACCACGCATTCTAATCAAGCGGCGGAAATAAAAGGGAAGAGAAAGGAGAACTCACTTGTAACGGCGGCGAACGGGAGGAAGAACCAAACGGTGCGGCGGCGATCGGCGGCAACGGCGGACGAGCAAAGATCTCAGAGCTTCGCAGGTAAAACAGCAGAGTGAAAAGTAGAAAAATGAGCGGGGACCCCCGTATTTATAACCCGGTGCGGGATTCGAAGCGACGCTAGGCTCATTAATGACATAGGGTTGTCGTCCCTACGACCGCTTAACGCACGACACATGGCGGCAACCTGACAGTCGCGCCCCTTCACCTGCTTTCACCCCGCTCCGCCGACGACCGGGGACCCCCGCGCAAGCGCCCGTTCCGCCACGCACGAATCCCGACGAACCTCCCGTTTCGCTACCTCTCTCCCCGACACAGCGACCTTAAGTCCTCGCTCTTTCCCCAGAGCTTCGACTTGGGGGGCTCCTGTTCCGGTCTGGGCGCGACCTCGGCAGGCCCAATACCACGTACGGCCCAATAAGTGAATCGGCCACGCTGGGCACGCGCGTCCCGCATGACGAGCAGGGCACGCCACCGGACACAAGCAGCGCGCCCAACAGCATCTCGTCGTCCCCTCTTATCAGCCGAACAGGACACACCCCGGCGCATCAAAGCGCGGCCTTGGTTCCTCCCCAACATCGCGAGCTCCCCTCCGCGGGGAGAACAACGTGCCCGGCGCACGTTCTCCACGTGCCCCCCTCTGCGGGGACACGTCATCTCCCAACTGCCCACCTCCGAAAGAGTAGGTCAAACCCACTTTTCGGAGATCACGGGATAGTTGGACTAGGGTGAAGACCACGTTCTGGTCTTCACTACGCCACGTAAGCCCTAGTAGTCATTAAGGTTGGGCCTGGTCATCCAGCCCACCTCAAATGACCGTTGGCCCAGCGCTGGGGTCTCTCTATAAATACCCTCTTTCACAAGAGGGTCAGGTAATTCAATTCTTGCCCAATTTCTATATTTTGCTCTCGCTCTGCCCAATTCCTTACTTTGGCATCAGAGTGTTTTGCAGGTATACCCCCCTTCTTTCTCCTCAGCACCGGTGAGCACGCAGCAGTCCAATAGAGTGTGATCGGCCCGTGATCCCCTCCTGATCAGGTCAGATCAAATAATAATAAATATTTGAGAGTATATTAAGAATGTCATTAATATTATATTAAAAATGTAAGATGACTTATAATTTAAAATAAATTTTTTAAAAAAAATAACTTATAATTTAAGATAGAATTTGTGCATGAATATATATTTAACCTTTCAAAAATATATACTAAACTGATGCAACCAATTACTTATAAATCCAACATATTCATCATAGTAAAACAGATATTTAAATAATCATATGTGAAATAAATAATTAACATGAATATCAAATATAAATTTATAGGAAAAACACCTAAATACTTCATAATCAAAAAACACATACAAAATACTTAGCAAGTACTTATATTATTAGGAAGTGTCTCTATCTTTGCAAGCTTTTTACTGTAAAAACTTAACTATTAGTCTTTCAGTTAACTATGGTAAACAAATTTGGCCTCATTTGGATTTACTTCGAAATTAACGAAAAAAACTCGATTTAATTGAATGTAGATGCGGAAAAAATTCGATTCTTAATTATAGGTACAGGAACAGAGACGAGAAGACATTAAGATTCGCCCGCACCCATCCCACCTCCAGATATTACAAATTATTTATTTATTTTAATTTACTTATTTTAATATTTATTTATTAATTATATTTTTAATTAAATTATCAATATCCTTATTGCAATTAAAATAATTAAATTAATATTTATTTGTTAAATAAATTTTTAATTAAATAATTAATTAAACTATTAAAATAATTAATTTTTAATTAAATTATTGATTTTTATCGCAATTAAAAAAAATTAACTTTTTGCATGTGAAGGCAGAGCGAATGCGAGAAAATTCGTTTTCTATTGGGAGCGAATCTAAATGGTAAATTTTTATTTTCGACTGTATTTAAAAGCGGAGACGGATCTGCTACGTAGAAGCAAATGCGGATGAAGTATAGATAAATTCGCCTCCGCCTTATTATCATGCCTACTCTCCGTCCCAAATTATTACTCCTTCCTATAGTAGAAACCTAAGTACTAATATATTATTTTCTCGTATTTTTAAATATTCTACTACTAATTTTTTACACTATTATTTATTTTCTCCGTTTCAAATTATATGAGTTTTGAATATTTTACACGAATTAGAAAATTTAATTATTATTTTATAAAAAAAATGTTATGTAATGTCCTTCATAATTATATAGGAGAGAGAAATTAAAAGAGTTGAAAGAATAAATAATAATAAATACTTGAGAGTATATTAAAAAAAATTCATTAATATTGCATTGAGAATGTAAATTGACTTATAATTTGAGACAAGTTTTTTTAATAAAATGATTTATAATTTGAAATAGAGGGAGTAACGATTTTATGGTTTTCACACTATATTACTCTTTCTGTCCCAAATTATAAATCACTTTGCTAAAAACAAATTTGTCCTAAATTATAAATTATCTTACATTGTCCATACAATATTTATAACATTTTCTCTAATATATCCTTAAGTATTTATTGTTATTTATTCTTTTAATTTTTTTTAATTTTTCTTTCATGTGTAATTATTATAGACATTACTGTAAAATCATACATAAATTATTTTTTTATAAAATAATAATTAAATTTTTTAATTTGTATAAAATTATCAAAACACCTTATAATTTGAGACAACAATTCTATATTGTCAGTGATGTGATATGCTGATACCAAAATTCATTGCAAATGTAGAATTTTTTTTTAAAATAACAACTTTTTATAATTTAATTACCATTTAAACCTTGTTTTCAAACAAATTCCCAAACTAACAATGTTTCAACTGAAGCCAAACGCATTCGCCAATCCAAACGGCGAATTGGTCAATCCAAACGGCGAATTGGTTGGAAAGGATGAACTAATTCGCCAATCCAAACGGCGAATTGGTTGGAAAGGATGAACTAATTCGCCAATCCAAACGGCGAATTGGTTGGAAATGATGAGCTAATTCGTCAATCCAAACGGCGAATTGGTTGGAAAGGATGAACTAATTTGCCAATCCAAACGGCGAATTGGTTGGAAATGATGAGCTAATTCGCCTCCGCCTAATGTCATAACTATTTTGATAAGATCTATTAAAACAATAACACAATTTATGTAATAGATAATTTTAAATAATTCAGTTCAAACATGCAGATATTCTTGAATTTAAGTAGCTAATATTTTGTAACATAAATTATCAAAAATACATTCAAAACATGACATAAAGTATTGCGTTCATTGTTTTCACATCTTTATAGTTTATTCCTCTTTGTTCACTTTTACTTTTACTTCATTATTTCGGCTGTGCTTCTCATTTTTTCTTTGTTCATTGGTTTTAATTTCTTGCGCAATTAAATTCACAATGCATACATTTTTTTGTCTATACTTTTAAATTCAAGGAATTTCTTATCAAACCAAGGGGAAAAGAACTCTCAGGAAAACCAAAAATGCCACTCTATTTTTAGAAAACGCACCAAATAAGTTAAATTTTTTTTTGAAGTGCGTCTAAAAATACATCTCCAAATGCAGAAGATATTATTATATTTTCACAAAAGGAGGTGTGCTAATAATATAGATGGTGCATTAACAAATTCCCTGAATTCAATGCTAACAATGTACGTATTAATTAGTTTCACAAATTTCACACAAAAAAAATAACACTCAACTTCAGTTTAAAAAATTACTATATATTAAAAAGATAACTTTCTGCAAATTTATTTCACTTACAAGTGCTGATTCCACGTCTGAGAAATGATAGAATATAAGCACTTACAAATTACAACTATCACTATCATACCACCATTAGCCAAATCATACATAATGGAACCCGAATCATTCTCGTTTACAAAGAAACTTACTTTTATTATTTTCAACCCAGTCGCAGTAATCAGGACTTTTCTGAATACAATTTGCCTGACACCCTAAGAATATAGCAAGACATATATTGCGACCAAAAAATTTAAAATAATAATCCAAATTTTTGCAAGATCACTATAGATAGACTAAGCAACATACAACAAAACCTTTACATAGTCTCTTACAGCAGATGTTGCGTGGCAAGATTTTCCGCAATTTCCTCCTTTATGGCAAATGTTTCTGAGCATTCAACATGGAATGTTGCATAAATATACAATCTAAGAACAATAATAGAAGCAAGTTACCCCAACAAATCCAAAAGGGGTGGCTGCTCAGTGCTTGACTTTGTATGAGAGGGCTGTTTGGTTGAAGTAGCACCCCTCCCTCTTCCCCGCCCTCTACCCACTGTGGTTGAAGGGGGTGGGGCAAGTCTAGGTGCAATTTGTTCATTCTTGTTGGAAGAAAATATGGATCCAAGATCAGTTGATTTAACGTTATTGTATGATGACGAAACAAGATTCGATACTGGAAAGGCCTGACTTTGTTTTAGGAACCCAAGAGGACTCTCAGGCTGAAAGCCATTATTCAGGTTACTAATAGATGAACTAGCATTCATTGGGTTCAAACTGATAGACTCCACAGATCTTTGGGAGTTGACAGACCAATTGTTGCTGGCTTGAAGATTGCTTGAATTGCTTGTCATTGAATTATGTCCTAATTTATTTAGTGGCATTCCTGAAGTACCATTGTTGGGATTTCCAAATCCACCAGATAGTGGGCCACTAGGGCGCGGAGGCCAGTCAGCAAAAGGATCATCATCTTCATTATTAGATGTGGATGAGGTTCCTACTGCAACTGTTTGCCTTTCAATATCACCAAATTGTGAGGTAACACCTGAAGATGCACGCGGCGGCCACTCTAAATCTACTGAAGGACATGATTTGGCTGTCTGTTGATTAGATACACCAGATAAGGAAACATGATTTTGTAAAGATGCTACTTGACCCACGGGGTTTCCTATCACTGACTGACTAGACGTATCAGTAGGATTGCTAACATAACTGGTGGTTCTCGTTGTTTTGGGACCCCAATCTGCATCCCAAGAGGAGCTGCTTTTTGCTGGAGTAGCAACAGTGCTGTTGATTGTCCTTGGAGCATCAACCTGAAGGCCATTCACTGCAGGAGATAATTTTACCTCAGGGAGTCCAGAATCAGTCACAACAACTCCCCGCTTCTCTTCTATCTTCCTGCATGAAGCATGGAAAGTTCAGAGAGAAATTCAACGAGAAGCTTATCAGATTAAGGAGAAAGCAAGACGAACCAAATGACAAAATTAGAGGATGAAAAGTATTTTGAAAGATAAAAAAATTACTGGAGAATATTCTTGACAAAAAGCATATATTTGGCAAACTGTTGAACATTGAGTTGTTGAGCAGTCAGGAGTGGCATAAGCAATGGAAGAACATGTTCGGCAACATATTCTACTCCATACTGAATAAGAGAAATCAAACAAGATTAGGGTGAAACCCTAACTATTGCTGATCACAGCAGTCAATAACCTAAACTGCAGTTCATAATTCAGGCTGCTATTGTGATTACCTGCTTAAAAATAGAATTTGCAACCCCAAGGGTACACATAAGGGTTGGAGGAGAATGGTCAACAGCAGTACAGCGCTGAATAGTTTGCAAGATTTCCAGGACAGCGTGTTTATCAAGTCGGTTAACCATTTCTCCTAGGCACAGCAAAGCATTGACTCTAACCTGTCAAACCAAAGAGACAGTTAGACTAGAAGTTTACCCTCTACGTATGAGATGAAACGCACGCGTCAAAGAAAAAAAGAGCACACATGCACACAAGGTAGAATAAAGAGTAGAGATGTAACTTTAAAAACAGATAAGATTTCCTTACAATTAAATAACTAACATGGTAGAATAAAGATCTAATTAATTTGCCAAAATTAGGTATGTGTGCTAAAAAGACACTAAATATACAATGACTGTGAGGCATTTGAACAAAAAAGTAAATGTTCAAAAACAAAATAACATACCGCGGCAACCGTTGTTTTGAGTGCTAGTCCATGAACACGGGGTAAAATCACTTGTTTCACCAGCTGAAAGAAAGTATTAGAAACTTCATAGAAATTGACGTTTTAATATCAGAGAACAGAGTACCAGACATTTAAAGTGAACTTGAGTGACAAAGTGGCCCAGGGTCATCTGACATTGACCTATACATTACAAGGGTTATATGATAATATAAGCCTAAGGGAATGATAAGACAAGGTAACAAATAAACTTTATGGACATGTTAATCTGCCTCTAATTTGCTGTCTCTTAAGTTTTGGAAGTAATTTTTGTGTGTGGCGATTATTGCTCTAGGTTTCTTTATTCTGTCAACGATGCTTTGCAGATGGAAGACATGTGGCACTAAGTAAAGGACCCTTATATGTGTTACTGGATGGTATGAGACGCCCGATTTGGTGTTTTGAATACCCTTGGTCATTCCTGGGGGTATAATGCTCAACTCAGTGTTTTTGAAATTATTTTGGAGGTTAAGGTCATTACTTATGGCATTTACTTGAGGCGTGTGCCAGAGTAACTGAGGACCCTTTAAGGAAGAGTCCTCATTGCCTGTATTTTTTATGGATTTGCTACTTGCAGTAGCAAGCTTATGGTTTTAAAAGCTTAAACTTGAGGGAGGAATTGGAAGATTTTAGGGATATTAATTTCACTAGTATTGGGGTTAGATTTATGCTTATACTAATTAGTGATACCGATATGTGCAGTAATTAACTTACTGTAGTTGAATAACATCTTATTTTTACTCTCGTAATGCACTGTTAGTATTTATTTATTTATTCCCTATTCATTGTCTAAATGCTAAAGTTTCAACAGTCCCTAAAAAGCTTCAAACATTGAAACAATAAAACTTAGAAAACACGCTCAAAAACATAAAAGTCCTGTATGATAGGAGTATATCATTCACCTGGGAATCAAGTTGTTTGGCGAGGGATACAGACTTTTTCAGGACCTCTTCTTGTATACGTGCATCATTATCATCATAGGCCCGAACAATCATTGGAAGAACATGTGAAATTAAATGTTCTTGAGTAGTCTAATAGAACAAAGAATGGCATAAGTTAATACAAATATAGTCATTAGACTCGATGATTTTTCAATCTTCAAAATAAAGAAACCACATTTAAACTCAATAATACCTTGTTTATTATTAGCTCAGCATGCTTCAGAAGCAGTAGCATTGTGTCACCAGAAGCAGTGCTTAAGACAGGGACAAGGGCTGGAAGTGTTGATTGCTCAAAATCATTCTTGTCCTGAAAAGAAACTTAAAATTTTTGTTTCCTTCATCTTAATGAATTTCTTTTTATTAAAAAACAATATGAACCCGGAGTATTCTTTAACTAATTGTTGGAATTTGTGCAAATAGTGCCTAGGTTCATATATATAGGCTAAAGCTAACCATAATCTTGTAGTTATGGTAATTAATTAGGATACCTGCGATCTTTGTATTACTACTTTTTATATATATTCTCGCTTTACTGTTTAGCTTGCTGGACAGTACGCCATCTGGTCTGCAGGTTTCAATGGACCTAACAATTCTTATTTGTATATATAGCTAACTCGATAAAGTTGGATCCATTGATGTTAAAACAGGAAATTTAGATCCACATAGAATAGAAGCTGTTTTGGTCTGGTGCATCCAACTATACTTCACCCATGAAGTGTGTGGCGACAAGAACTCGGGAGCAACAAAAAGCTTCTCCTTTACACTAAGGCACTTATAGCTGCTACTAAATAGCGATCAACATGCTGAGCTTAAGGAGAAAAATTTCAAGAATATAGACCATTGAATTACTTGTAATAAAGCGGTTGATATTTAGCTTTGTTTTATAGAGCACACTATTCCTCAATTTAAAAATGTATTGATAGAATGGGCACAAATTTTAGATTAATATGGAATTTTCTGGGCATCGCATGTATCATGTATATTTTCAACACAATGGTGGACTCTAAAATATTCACTCTACAAAAGAATATTTCTCGATGCTTTGGTGTTTGATTAACATTGTTGTCAATACTACCATTATGACTAATATAGGAATATACGAACTTTATCAAAGTGATGAAAAGAAAGAGAGACTAGTACCTGAGACTCTGCAATGGTTAGAACCATTGGTAGAATCATTGGTTGTATCACTACATTCCTAAGTTCTGCACAAAGTGGTGGAAGGACCTGCATGGAATTTATTTTGTCGAGATTACATTCATGACAAAAGAGAATAAAACTCATAACTCTATCAATTTAATAGATGTCAGAAGTAAATTAACAAATGTAACTTAATTACATATATTAAGGAAAAACTAGATGACTTAAAACATATTTAAAATATTTCAAAATGCAATTATTGACATACTAAGCTTATGTCAAACCCAAACCCAAAATCAATTATTGACAAATTACCAAGTGATTGATGGATCAAGAGTGTGGTGAAATATATACGGGAAAGAGAACATAAAATTGATTTACAGTAGTGAACAAAAAAGCATATTACATAACCAAATGATGGGTTAGGATCTTCTACATTTCTCTGAAGAAATAGAGGGAATGGAGAGGATGCTAACTCCCAAACAACATACCTTGTATCGCAAAACACGGGAATCAAAATCTTTCCACATTTCCGACAAGGCTTTTAAGAACTCTGTCTTCTGCATGTTATCTCTTTCCTGAAGGAAAATAAGTTATGTCATTCAGAAATTCACATCTAAATATTCTGCATGTTATCAATTTTGTGATGCTAACAAGATAAACTTAAAACTCTTACAAGCATGTGGTCCAAGAAGCGCAGAGCACGTAACCTAGTGTCATTCCGAAAAAACTGCGAGCCTGCAAAACGAGGGACATATATCCTGTAAAGATAATCATAATAAAGGTTGTAAATAAAATTATTATAGGACTAATATTCCTTCTGTATTATTTCCCCCTATGAACATAATTCCTTTGCATTATGTTATTCGATACTCTACAGATAAGACGGGAGAAAATACTTGTTTTAAAGCTTTTTGCATAGTCTTGTTCTACATCATAGGAAAAACTATCAAGAAAATCCTTGAAGTGAATTGTCTGGATAAAGATTTGATATATAATAGAGCATTATGGCATCATTTGATCTGTGTAACCGACCACATCAAGTGGGATAAGGCTTGGTTGTTGTTGTTGACCATGTTGTGAGTGGAATCAAACTACATACTCCTTTATTCATTATAAGGAAGTTACAAAATTAGAGACGTGATTGTGAGGTATTAGTAGAGATGTACATGATACATTTGATGGTGGTGAGTAGACTGCTTCTTGAATAAGCACAGTTGTCTACAGGTGAGTTTGACTTGGAAGCTATATTTTTTTCTGAATGATGAGGGTATAGAAATGAAATGGATTCAGTAAGGGTATGTTTAGCCCAGTTCATTTTGCTTAAAATAATCTTTAAAAGTCAAGTAAAGCTGTTCGGCTATTTACAAACATTTTAAGAAAAATTGTCCTGACTCCTGCCTGACTCACTTTACCATTATGTTAACAATAGCTCCAATACAATTTTATTATTGTAGATTTTTAAAAAGAGAGCCTGAAACAATTTTTTTAAAATCCACCACCAAAGGATGAAAAGGAGTGAAAAAAGAGTGAAGTTATTAGTACGAAACATATTGCTGTAGAGATTATTGACATTGGATAGTTAACATCAACTATTTTATCATAAAACAAATAAAACATTAGGAGCAAAAACATGAATTCAATATAATAGAAGTAATGATGTTGGAGAGGCGAACGCAAATGGTTCTGACTAGAAAATATAAAATTCCACATGACCTAGGATGTGTACAATGCATCTGGTGGGGAAAACACTGTAAATCGAGGAATAACTCTTCCCAATAGTTTTAATAGAATGTCTATTTTTTATTTTGTTCTATATAAATAAGGTTTTTTTATTAGAGTTTTTGCCGCTAAGTGTTGGCCCCAGCTTCCCTTTTTAAGGAGAAGAAAAGCCAAAGTAAATAGGGTCTAAAATCATTTTTAGTAGGAGTAATATTTTTGAAATTTTGAAGGTCGAAGAAAAAATACAGTTGTATGGTGTTCCCCGTTTGAGGTTGACATTGTTCGGCGTTGTTCTCCGCATCAATTATGGTTTGTTGTGATCTTTCGTTTTCTGGTTTTGCTATGCTTCCAGCTTGCCTGTAGTTTCTAGTTGTCTTGTTGACTATTGGAAGAGGCAAAATTGATTCTAGTGGTGCAAAATGGATTTTAACATGTTTGGATGTTCTCGAAAAGAAATGTTTTGCCTCCATGACTAACTATAACTTAAATTTAAAGCATTTGCCTCTACAGCTGATTTTTTGCCTCAAATTTATTGTTCAACTCAATTTTACATGAAATATATCCGATTATAAATATAAATCACCTTACATTCAATTCCCTTTTAATCATAATCAATTGTTTATAATCAATTTATTTAAAATTAATTCTGGCAATGTTCATAATCAATTCATTTAAAAATATTTTGTCACTGCAAAACCGAACACACAGCACGTCAGCTTGGCTCAACTTAACATGTCTAGCTATGTCCTGTCCCAAGAAAAACATCATTTGTTAACCTTGCAACTAGTTAAAAGTTGTTTATTGGTCATATCTTTAAGTCGCTCTTATCCTGGTGTGTTTTCTCCCTTCACTCATTAGTCATTGGCACCAAAAACCGAAAATTTAAGGACCATAAATATAGTTAAGTTGATTGTTCCCTAGTTCTAGTTTGTTCAAGACAATCCAATAGTTGTTCTAGTTTTGCTTTTCCGGTTGTGTCCCCATAGCGTGGTTCGTTCTTTCAGGTGCATCTTCGGTGTTATTATTGATACTGTTTTGCTATGCCATAGTTGATGCCAAGCTTTAGTTGCTTGGGTTTCCTTCCATAATGTGACACTAATAAAAACCCACCAATACACAAAAAGAAATAGGGCAAATCCCTTTGAAATGCAGAATAATACAGCAGAACTTCGAGGGTCTACGCCTCCCCTATTGCCAAAATGGCCCCCTTCCAATCAAATTACAAGATAATAAACCTCCTCTATCTTCCCCCTAATTATTATAAACATAAGTAGAGAATTAGTAGAACGTAATTGCTACAAATAATACATAATTTCCTACTAATCACTCCTAATAATATAAAAACTGTCGCTTAAAAACATAATCAGTTTTCCTTAATGAGATGTCTAACAATACTCCCCTAAAAGTTTCACCTTGTACTCAAGATGAAAGAAATACACTTCCCAAAAGTTTCACCTTGTCCTCAAAATTAAAGAAATACACTTCAGAGTTTCATCTTGTACCATTAGGGGGAGTATTATTAGACCTCTCATTAACTAAAATTGATGACTTTGCAGTTATGTTTTTAAGGGGCAATTATTATATTATAACAAGTGATTAGTGGGAAATTATTAAGATCATTAGTGGAAAATAATTATATTATTAGCCTATACATTTTACTAATTATGTGTTTATCTTTAAACTAAATAGGGGAAGATAAGGGATGCTTATTATCTTGGAATTTGATTGGAAAGGGGTCATTTTGGCACAAAAGGGAGGTGCATACACTCGAAATTCTGATGTATTATTCTAGAATTAAATGGGATTTTCCCTTCTTTTTTTGTTTTAATCAGTTGGCTTCTATCAACTGGTACCAACATGGTTGTCACTATCTCGATCTAGATCTTAAAATCTTAAGATTTTACGATCTCATTCACCCCCAACAATCTAGATCATAAGTCGAATCCTGTGTTGTAGTTAAATTATAAAAAATCGTAAAATCGTAGATTTTATGGGATCTATGTCAATTTCGACTATGATTGGCGGTTTTTCGATCACTGTCAATAAAAGGTGATAAGGATGACAAGATGCAGAGGCGCAACAATTTTGGTTCCACGGGGACAACTGCGTGTCTTTTGAAATTATGAAGTTTTAGATTTAGGGTTTTGAGAATAAACATGTTACTTATAGGGTTTGTTTTAACTAATTGACTGACTTATGATAATCCTAGTAATTGATCAAATATATGTCATTAATGTCTAACAAATGTTCCATGAGGTAGTAATAAAGTATAAAAACTCAATCATACATGTCTAAAGAATAGGAAAGAGTCATTTTCTCACGAATACACTTGCCTACTAACATATATCATGTAAAATTACTTTAAATATATACTATTATTTTTTCATTTTAGTAGGATCTTACAATTTTTGTTGCGATCTTAATGTTTTACGATCTTGTTACCCCCTCTCGATCTTACAAAAATAATTGGGTAGGATCTTCTAATCTTAGCTACGATTTCATATTCTAAGATCTTAATAATATTCTCCCCTGATCTTATGTAAGATCTCGATTTTGACAACCTTGGGTACCAGAGTAATTCTGATCCAGGAAGATTCTACAGAGGATACCAAATTTGATTGCGACGGCAACTATGTAGTGAAGAATGTGGATTCATTGACAGATGCCGCCAAAGTAAAGATCCATCTGTAAATGTGAAAAAGCCACCAGAAACTATAGTAGATTGAAAACGGAGAAATAGTGGCAGGATTACGTCATTGAAGATGGTACCACTTTGATGCCGTGTTGATACGATTGAGATAGAGTTTAGGTAGAAAAGGAGGAAAGAGAGAATGACAACAATATTCAGTATTGATTACATCAGAATGATATTGGATGTGATACGATACAAATTCACACCTGTTTATATTTGTTTGTTAGTTATACCTGTAATTATTAGCACTAGCTTACACCAATTATGCTACTAGCATACTAACGATCTTAGTATTAGCTCCTAACCAGTTCCTGTCAATGTAATTAATTCACAGGTATTTCATTGTGAAGTCTAGATTCATCACTCATCGTATCTGACATAATTGAGACCTTCCTCTTCAGATCAGGCACGAAAATTTTAATTTATACACCCATTAAAATTTTGTGAGAAAAAACCCCAAGAAACCCCATTTTCTGTTTTGAGCCAAGACTGTTTTCCTTTTTCATTCATGGAATGAAGAATATGTATTCATTTATAGGGCAATATTTACCTGTAAAATCCATCGCAGTTGGCCTGACAGATTCATTTAAAGAGAGCATCCTTTGCAAGTCAGGAACCAGTTCCGATGGGATAGATGAGAAAGCATCACTGGATAAGTAAGTCAAGGTATTCATGTACTGCAAAATCACAACTTATTACTTTCTAATTAATGAAATAATATAGCCCAGAGTTATCAAATAATAAAATTTTAGACATTTTTTGTCTATCTAAATATATAGAGTAAAAACCTATCTAGTGAAATGTATTTGATCATTAATATAAATGCTCAATATGGTTAGCATTGACTTTGATTAATACAATAGTAGTATTTTAGTACTTCTGCATATTGAAAATGGTACACCTCGAATATATTTAAAATAGCACGTGAAAACCTAATTGTAAGTAACAGAAGCAGAAAAAAAAAAACTCAGATGGAAAATATCTTACTAGAAATTAAACTCGTGTATAAAAACACAAGATTCAATCTGGACCAAAATAACCCTCTTTCCACATTTTTTGCTGGTTTAAGTTTCTTATATGATATCGAGCTCATTTTTTTCAGATACCATTACCAGTCTAGGAAAAAGGAAAACAAAGGAATATGTACATACCATCTTCACATTGTTGTGGCAGTCAAACAAAGGCTTGCGAGCAATTAAATGGTAGGCAAGGCATCCAAAACTGAAAATATCAGAATAGCAGCCAGCTGAAGAAGCAGTGCTCCTCACCATCTCAGGAGCAGTGTAATTAATTGATGGCTGAAGTGGCAAAATAGAGTCTTCAACGTCATATTCCTGTTCAACAGCCATAGTGAAATAAGATATAGATCATTTGAGCTCTTGAGGATTAGAAGGAGATACAAATATAAATAGTTTTATGATGAGTCAAAAATTTTAGAGTTCTATGTTGTATTTCATTTCTAGATTTATTCTATGGTTCTATCTCATGACTACTTTAAAAGGCAAACACAGAAAATGAATTTTGTCATGTTCTGCCCCTCAATTTTAAGCAAATGAAATGCACCTTTACATTTCATTCTGGTAGCATATATGATATGTTCTGCCCCTCAATTTTAAGCAAACGAAATGCACCCTTACATTTCATTGTGGATAATTCATTGAGAGCAAATCAACCTCTTCTTTTCTTGGAAGAGAAAAAATATTATCAAATCTGATATGGCCGACAGATTGTAGTATACAGTTGAAGAGATTTTTGACAAGGCTCTGACCCTTTCAATTGAAGAGAGTGATTTTCAATTTCTTTGGCAGGATTATGACAATATTGACATGGAAATTTTTTTTTTGCCTAAGTGAACACATATTTTTCACCTTCAGATTGTTATATATTTTGTGACAGCGTAGTATTGGTTTCTTTTCCACATCTAGGTTTGCAGCATACTTGTTATCACCATTAGTTAGATTTCTACCCAGAAATTCAAGCAAAACATTCAAAGCAAAACTAAGACCAAATACTAGTAATAATAATGTCTATGTACTACTTCTGTTTCTAAATATAAGCCTCATTTGGAAGATGAAAATTTGTCTCAAGATACAAGCTCTATTAATAATTTACAAGATATATTTATTATAATTTCTCAAATATACCATTTATTAATACTACCAATTTGTCTTGAGAATGAGAAGTCATAATTGGACACACCTATGCAAAAAGGACTGCTTAGTAATATTCATACACGAAGTGTAAACATTAATTATACTACCGACTTTGCCTAATATATATGAAAAGTGTCAAAAGGTATTACAAAAAGGGATTGAGATAGTATGTTCTTATTTTGTATTTTAAAAATTGAAATTAGATGAGTATATCATATTTTGTGAATTTTTGTCCTATATTTTTCAAGAATATCCATATCTTCCGCATCATCATAGTATAGTTTTTCATATAAAATCATCATATTTAGTATAAGGCATTTAAGACATCCAATTGTCGGTCAATTAAACAATCTCAATATAGAAAATCCTAATCATATCAAATGTTTCCACTCACAGCATAATGGAAGGCTTGCTGATTAGATAACTCGCCAGGGTTCTGCGAAGCAGGGATTGCAAAACCAAATCCTCCAAGTTTCCAGGCTCCGCTCATTGTAATAAAAACATTCTGCAAAGCATAAAATTTGTATTCAATGAACCACGCTGAAATTTTATAGATGTTGCTCACCTTTACAAGGAAAACTCCAAATTTAGAAACACAGTTTACATGATTTATACCATTTCTAACTATTATTGTAATCGCTTTCACCGGTATTATTACTTGTCAAAAACTTTCTTTTATCAAAAGAAAAGTTACTCGCCGCATGACAAAAGTTGAAGGAAAAAACAACTAAATTAATTACAAGGATCATTATAAAGGACAAAAAAGAAAATAAAAAAGTTATAACCTCAGGAGATATAGCTCGATGAATAAGATGAGCCTGGTTGTGGAGAAAATCCAACGATTCCGCCATCTGAAGTAAACCATGCTTCACCTCCAACAGTCCCATTTCCTGCAAATTAAAAAATTACAGCAATATCATAGCAAAATCCACAGAAAAATACAAGAAAAAACAAAGCAATGGAATGACAACGGCACTGAGCATATACACGTGGTTTTAAAAAAGGTAATGAACTGCAATATAGTCTATGATAACAGGGTTTTCGATCTTTCTATCTACCTATTTCTCTAGACAAATTTTCTACCTAGTAATACTTGGTGGAATTTCAGACCTCTATTTTGCATCACTTTTTCTATATCTGTGCAATCTTCCACTTGATCTATATTCTATACTATACTATAACGAGACTACAATAGACCATATCTGAGAGCTATTCTTCTCCGTAATAACAATGCTTCTTTGTTTCAAATGATCACAACATGGACGCGATTTAAAATCATGCTTATACATAATGAATTGAAATTAACAAGCACTGCCATTTGCATTGCATGTAATTTGAATTGAATTGAAGTGAATCGAATCAATATACTAACCATTCCCCTAAGATCCTTAGGAACATTTGCAACATTATCAAGATTCCCAAGCGTATTAGCAACAGAAGCAAACAAAGGCTCGGTCACCATGGCCATCGCGTTCTTACTCTCATCAAGTCCCTGAACAACATGAACAATTCCCGGATGCCTAAGTCTAACAAGCTTCCCCGCATCCGTCCGAACCAAATCCAAAAACGAATCCTCCGCCACTTTCGTCAACCCCGCGCGCACTCGAGCCTCCGACAAAGCCCGTTTATCCAACACCCAAACGCACACAACGGGATACTGATGCTGCCGCGAAGGATCACGAGCACGGGCGGAGTAAAGCCGCCAGGCTAAACCCGGTCCGGCGGAACCGATCTGATCGAGAAGCTCGTAGTCTTGAAGTGGCTTTGGACCTGTTACCTCGTGCACCGTTGTTTGCACCTTTTTCTCGATTACTGCTGCGGTTTTTGCTAGTGCTTGGGTTAGGGTTTTCATGTTGAGCGACATTGTGGTTGATTGATTGAGATTGATACTGGAGAAAGGGAATTGATGGAGAAGAGGTGAGAGTTGAGAGATTGATATGAGATTCACAGTGTGTGCTTGTTTGTTTGATCTTGCCCGGATCTCTGTCTTCTTCTCTGTTTCTCCGTGTTTCAAGTCATCTTTTCTACCCAATGCTTACTTCGCCATTTTGGTTTTTATTTTTTCAATTATTTTGTTATTATTATATTATTTCTCTTTATTTTTTTATTATTATAATTAATATTCTATCTGTTTTAAAATAACTGACGTTTTAGGTTTTTTTACAAATTCTTACTAAATTAATTTTATTAATGTCTTAGAAATAGTGTACATAGTAATAATTATATGATATAATTGAAAATATAGTAGTTATTACTTCTGAAAAGTGAGAATAAAAATCATTTTAAAAATATAGCAGGTATAAACAAAGCATAAAGCATATACATCCAAATGAAATGTGAAAGTGAGAAAAGTACACAAGAAGGGGATTGAATTGTGTTGTTCATTTTTTTAGTTTGCATCTGATTAGAGTTCAGAATCTAAAGTGGTATTTAGATTCTGGTTAAATCTTAGTATTGGAATGTTAACATAAGCAAATATATAATAGTAGAAGACACAAAGATTTATATTGGTTCTTCCCTTAATTGAGAGTAGTTCAGTCCCCTTGCCTCACTAGAGATCTTCACTATAATCAAAACATGATAAAAATCGCTTGTGCATTCTGCATAAGACTTTTACACCTGCTCATACCCAAGGTCCAAGACTTTTGCTCTAGCTTCTCACTCAAGACTTCTTGCTCAAGTTCCACACCCAAGACTTCCTTGCTCAGGCTCCCTACCTAAGACTTCTGCTCCTAGTCACATGAAATGAGCCTCTCTGCTTGCACCCTACTGGCCAAGACTTACTTCTCCAAATTTCATGCACTAAGCATTCCTGGTCAAGCCCTCAGGCCCGAGACTTCACCTCCAGGTCACATGAAACTAGCCTTTCTCCGCTTGCACCCCACTGGCAAGACTTACTACTCCTAATTCCATGCACTGAATTATCTGCTCAAGCCACACTGGCTCAAGACTATGTTGCTCAATCAATCAACTTGATTAAAGCTTTCACTGCTCGAGCATCTTTGCTTGAGACTTTCTTTCTTATATACCAATGATACAATACTTCTGCTTAATCAATCCATTTGATTAAGACTTTCATAGACTAAGCACATGGCAAAAGACTTACGTGGCTCAAGCATCTTGGCTCGAGACTTCCTTGCTTGTATCCTAATGACACAAGACTTTTTATCTAAATTGTTGAACAAGCTAAGAAGAATAAAGAATAAGGTGTACATCATACAAGTATCAGAGGTACGGGAAATCATCATAACAAAGACCTAAAACTCTCAAAATTTCTAAGATATACAATGTATAAGAAATATTAAGGCTTTTAGTATTACAACCTACATCAAAAAACTGCATATACAATGAGTTGATAATTGTTGATGTTGTTAATCTTTCTTTTGGTTGATCCTTGATAAAGATTCAGTTTGAACCTTCAACCATATTTTAGAGGTAACTTGATCAAAAGTCTTTGTTGTTACTCCATAGTACAAGAGTTGTTGAAGATAGATACACCAGAAGATCTTGATCCAATGTGTAACATGTTTAACCTTTATGTCTTCAAGAGATTTTGTACTAATAGAGCCGTTGAAAGTTGATCTCCACAAAGCATCTCGACTTTTCTTGAGCCTTGCAATCTGTAGACTCTAGCTGACAAATTAATTTAGCAATACAACTTGCTTTCTGCAGTACAAATGACTTCAGCCTTATCACCAACTCTGAATGGTACCAGAGGCCAATTTACATTCACTAAGTGTAGAGACAATAATATTGCTTCTTCTGATGCTGAAGCCTTTAGCTTTAGAGTTTTCGCCAGACATCACTTAACAAGTGTTCTTCAAATTCTGCCACCAGAAGCTAGCAATTCAGCAACTCTCAAATTGTGCTTAATGTATAATAGATTTTTACCATAATATTTAAAAGTATTAGAACCTGGACACATGTAACACACAATTAAACCATTGTTTTTTCAATACTCTGTTATCATTAAAACTCAAGGAAAATATGTCATTAACAAATCTTGTTCTAATAATCTCCTCCTTTTTTATGATGACAAACACAAGTATTTTAATGACAATGTTGGGCAGTAACAATTTTCTTTGCAACATCAAGGTATGAGGTTTGTAAGCCCCCTGAGTCTAATAGTCCAAAGCAGAGTTCTGCAGACATCATACTAGGAATTACTCTTAAGAAAAAGTAATTTAGTCTTTTTAAAAACATTAGAGTATGAGGTTTGTAAGTTCCCCCTAAGTCAAACAGTTCCAAGGTTGAGGTTTGTAAGCTCCCTCTTACTTCCATATTTAAGAAAACTAAAAATAATATTTTAACTTCCTTTGGAAACATCAAAATACGAGGTTTGTAAGATCCTTCTGAGTCTGATAGGCTAAGGCTGAGGTTTGTAAGTTCTTTCTTAGTTCTATGAACAAGAAAGTTAAAATGTGTCGCCCGGGCAAAATAACCATAAAAACAGAAATATAAATGACAAAATTATAAATGACTAATATGTACAATTGAATAGGTGCTCAATGAGTTCAGTTTTTAATTAAATACTTACCATTATTTCTCCCCTTTTGACACATCAAAAAGAAAAGGAAAAAGAGAAGAAGAAAAGAATTACAATCATAAATGCATCACAAATCATCATTACAGGATCAATTTCCAAGAAACTGAAAAAAGTAACATGGGATTATTAAAGATTGTATATATCATGCCTGAACACTTATTGGTCATAAAAATTTCAAGAACCAAGCATAGGATTTTATTTAAACTTTTAGATTACCCATAAGCTATTATAAAAGTAACCAAAATCTAGTTCGTTTACATCAACATTCATTACAATTATGGAGTCCTTAGCTGAGAGTCATAAGGTTTCTATTATGACGGAAATGTCTGAGAGCTCTACAAGATAGAGTATCCAAAACCTTCAGAAGCCAGCAACTTCAGAAGCTTCTGCATATGGTCCTATAGCTTTTCCCCTTAATACCTCAGACGAAGCTTCATTGGTAGTACCTCAGAAACCTATAGAAGTGGATGCATCAGTAGTTGTTTTGAACTCGTGGAAGGTATTCATGAAAGAAACCAAGAAAAAGGAGATCAATGAGATGTTTCATCGCTTTATCCCAGACATAGATGAGGGATTCAATAATGGAGATGAGCCAGATTTTGATTATGGCAACAACTTCTGTTATAAGGAGCTGGATGACATAAATATAACTTAGTCTAAGATCAAGCCAGTTTCTTATGTGTTTTATTTTTATGTAATCCTTTTAATCTTGGTTAATTAAAATAAGTTATTTTGACCAGTAAATATGTTGCAATCATACAAACATGCAATTTACCTAGTAGATAATCTAATAAGCATTAATGAAGTCTAATTCACACCATAAACGACAGTTAAACAAGTCAAGTATAAAATTCATAGCTGTTAAAGAATCTTTATTAGGTTAGACTGTTAGATAACATTTCCAAGATATATCATTTAAGATATTGATAAGACTTAATCAATATAAAAACAATAGTCACTTGAAACAATGTATATAACACCTCTATATAAGAACTTTTAGCAAACTTACTTTCATAATCACTTAATCTTTAAAATACCAAGATGTACAAGCAGAAGCAAATATAGGTTCCAAAGAGAGATTTCATAAAGACAGCAATACTAAATGCAGCAACTCAAGCAAGTGAAAGCAAAGCAGCAGCTGAAGGATCTATAAACAAGCAGATGACTTCAGAAGCTCCCACCTCTTCAGCATCCTTTGTGAAGACACACAAAAGAAGATCTTATGGGTCCAGAGGCAGAAATTAACTAAGAAAGGAGGCTTTCAAATTTTCCAAGAAAGAATGGCAAAATTACTTAGATAATCTAGACATGTCAAATGATCCTAGAGAATACCTTAGGGTCAATCCATCAGACTAGAATGTCTAAGTAATTTGTAATCACTTTCTTCTTATTAATGAAGAAGTTACAAGCATTAAGTTATTACTCCCATTACTTTTAATTCGCTTGAACAACTATAAATAAATATAATCAACAGTTAATTGAACAACAACATGAACAAACTTTGAATTATTAATAAGATAACTTGATACAAAGGTTATAGAAGTTACAAGACATAATTATGCAGAAATATAACATCAGAATCTTTCATAGATAGCTTTAAGTTTGTCTCTCTAGATTTTAGACAAATTAGCCTCTGAACTTATGATAACTCCATACTGAACAAGTAATTCTAAAAGAACTTGTCCAAAAGGAATGAAGCATATATTTACCTTATGAAAGGAAGAAAGTGTCTTCTTCGAATAGTCAAACATAACTTGAGGAAGATCAATCTGCAGGTCTGAATTGAGAAGTAGAAGCAGATCTTTTTCATTAGGATCCACTAGGTCAATATCCTTATCCTTAGGAAGTAAATTTGAATTTAGAATCTGACTCCAAACAACAACATTAGGACGAAGATTTGAGACCACTGACGTGTTAAATGGATCTACAAAGACACGCCAAGTAGGAAGATAGTGTTCCCATTTCTCAAGTTTCCTCATAATTGATCATATTAGCAATCGCTTTAGAGGTTACTGTTATAGAAATACCAGTTACTTTAGAAAGAACAACACACTCAAAATTCAGCTAAAAAATGGAAGCATTGATCCAAAAAATCTTTGATAAGATCTGGATAGGTGAAACCACAAAGCATCTCAAAGTATCCATTTCATCCTTGTTCATACACAGTCTTCCAGAAGTTAAAGCATAACTTAAGAAATTCATCAAAATCCACAAGCTTTTCATTAATGACTACTAGTTAATTCAAAGAAGAATTGACTAGGAAACTCATCTCAAGTTTGGTTTAGTCAACACACAACCATACAGAGAAAAAAAAGAGA